GTTAGGTCAACTGAAAAAAATCCAATGCCCTCATCGGGACTTGAACCCGCGACCTTCCGGCTTCTAGCCGGAAGTTCAACCAACTACGCTACCGCGTACCCCCCACCATCAGACAATAATATTTGATAATTCAACAATTCCATTTCGTATTCATATCCCTTTTTGTGTGTGTGTGTGGCTGTTGTGTCCTTTGTTGCACCTTGGCCACCTTTACATCTTATTTATCTTTTATATAGTCAGCAGGGCTCCTTAGACGGGGGATCAGCCTGTGGTAAGGCTCCTACCTGCACAAAGTACCGCGCAAACAAAGATTAAAAGCAAAAAGATATCCATGCCTCGAGTGGGATAAGAACCCACGATCCCAGTGTTTGAGCGAGCGAAGGTAGTTCATACCTTAGGAAACGCAGCCACTCTGATCGGCATTGATATCCTTACACGATAATATTAGTGACATAAAAGCAACTGGAGACATCGATAAATATCGAAAAATCGGGATAACCCCGAGAACACTTTCCAGCTTTGATCTCCGAATCTGCATTTGAAGCTGTAACACGGTTGAACTGCTTCAGTTCTGTGACTGTCGTAGTAAGAAGCTTAAAATCTGAAAAGAAATCATAGGAATAATCGACTTTTGTAGAAAATATTGACTTCTAAGTGGCAGTGTTAAAGTTCTAGTTGTAATTTCTTGCTATGCCTTTCGTACGCCTATACTTCCACAGGGGCCCTCCTTCTCCTTTTGACATTCGACTTTATCTCGTGTCACCCCTCCCCCCTCATGCTGTGTGCAGATTCTCGGATGATATCCACGTTCCTTAAGCATTCCGCCTCCCCCCAGCCCCCTCCCGACGTCTGTTACCATGTGACAAGCCTAAACACAGCATCATCAACTATTAGAATGACATGGTGTGACTGAACCACGTGTGTAGGAGTTCACATCTTGTTGTCTGTCAGTTCTGTCAGTCTCCTTGGTCGTGGAACATGTCAAACAGTGAAGGCTTTTTAGTTCGTTAAGTGAACTCATGATAGCACAGATTGGCTATTTCGATGCGTTTCTGACTTTGTTATTGTGTTCATGTCACAAAAGGTAGGATACAAGTTCCAGTGACTTATTCTGGTTCAGTGAATGATGTTTCATTCCAGAATGTAAATTTAGAAGTGTTTGTTTTCATTAGCTTTGAGATAGAGTGACTGTCATCATTCTTTGTATCGCATTTAACTTCTTGTAAAACATCCACTTAGAATACTAAGAAGGAGATAGGAAAATAACATCGAGATGAAATTATATACATTTTGTACATTATCCATTAGTTTTTTATTATTATTTAAAAACAACATTCGGAAACTGGAATCTTGTCTCTGACTAGCTATATTGCCATCATCAAACACTTTTAGGTCTTTTTAATATTTAGGTGGTGTGGGAAGGGAGATGGTGAAGGTGGCACTTGGATGGAAGTAGCTTGGGGTCATGTTCAGCGGCAGGTGTTTATATTTGCAGTGTTAAACCTTGAATCACAATGCTAGCTATATATTGCATGATCATTTAGTGATATGTCTCGGACTATCCTCTCTTGATAATATCTGCCAGTTCAGTATTTATACACATACACTCACGGTGCAGTGCAGGCCCGAACTATTGTATCTACTTGCCAGTTAATTTTTGGTGATATATTTAACGACACTTGTTCTTTTGCACCGATTTCGCGACGTATAATTTAAGTTTAATGGCGGATAATAAACTTGGAAAGGCTTAGGAGGAAACGATCACGGTATATATTAAGTTACTGTGCCATCAGGTTTCTGAAGGAATTAGGAAAACCTGTTAGAATCCTCAGTTAGGATGTCCAGTGTGAAGATCGAGAATTGACCTCTGGACGTCCCGAACGCCTACGTCAGTGCTGCCTCATAGCACTAAACAATTGTAGTTATTTTATTCCTTTTCCCATAGTATTAACACTCCCACTTTTCTTTTACGTCATTCTTTTCACTTAAGATTATTTTCATAAGCAAATATGATGAAGGTGCCTATATTTACTGTTGGCTAGCCTTGCTCTTATGTTTTCCTACAAAACTTGTAGCCATGTCTGAAAAGAACTGATGCAGTAGACACATGTTAACAAGTTCAAACCCGACTAGATCTCGTGTACTCGTAAAAGTGTTTTTCTGCACTTCGCAAATATTCTACAAGTTGTATTTGCTCATGGATTGTTTAGCGACTACGAGGTTCCGTATACACTGCGTAAATTATGATGACAGGATAATTGACATGAAGGACGTGTATGCTCCCACGTGCATAAAGCTAATGTACACGATTCAGGTGTATTAAAACAACAACCAGTAACAAGATACGTGATATTCGGGAAGAAATTTCTGCACGAGGTCGTCTATGGCTTCGTGTAAAACTAAAGGCCACGACTACGCCGTTAAAAGTCTTGATTTATTGTACTTTAATTATTTGCGTGTTGCCTTTGAGTAGCCTACGCGTCAAGAATATTTTATTTACTTAACGACACTTTCGCTTGCTAATTGTGTATAAGTCGAATGATAGGGTCGTTAATGAATTATGAATATATTAAATGGTCTGGTAAAAAAGATTCATGGCCTAATTTCAGCTACTGTGTCTGAAGAGGCTCAGCAGACCACTCAAGATAACTTCTCTCGGGGCCGAGATTGGAACCCCGGGCACCTTGAATACAAAGCGGTTTTGCCAACTGCAAATTTTGTTGCGACGTATAGGAGATATATAATTGATTATGTGGTGCAGTAAATTAAGACATAATTTGGGGTTATTACGCACCAACTGTAAGTTATTATCTCCACGGTATGTGACTGGAGTCACTTTTAAGACTTTTCTTTTCTGGAAATGGAAACAGCTTCCGTAGTGACGTGAAGCACACTGCAAAAATATTACAATATTTTACAAATTTGTTATACAACTCAAAGTAAGAGGCGATCTTTTGAAGAGCTATCAAGGGGGAGAAGGTAGTTGTCGACACCATAGAAAAGGGGTGGTGGGAGTCCTTTGTGCCTCACGTTAGGGAGGAGGGTTGCCTAGAAGTTTTTGTGTTTTGAGATTTCTAGACACGAGTTTTTTTTTCCAGAAGGGAGGGATACTGAACATTTTCGAGTGAATTGTAATAATCATATTGACAGATTCATACTATGGCGGGACTGCAAGCTTGCGTCCGTGCAACATGGCACTAAGTGTCTGAGCTTGTGACGTCGCTACTCACTATGTAATTGATTGGGTTACATCATTATTCTGAAGCGCCCTTAGAATATTTACCGTGCCGCGCCGAACGCGTGTCACTGAATGACAGCATGACATATTATGTGGTCTTGCATGTATTCAAGTTATGATTTTCTTGCCTCGGATTCCGTAAACCATTGACTGCCTAGACGTGGATTTAGATGTACTTATATTGTATTACAGCTGTATCCGAAGGCACGATAGTGTTACCATATTGCGTGGTAAAATAGTTCAGTCTCCCTTGATTTTTTTATTGCTAGTGGGGTGAGACTAAATCCCTTGTACTGCAGCCACTTCTGGCCTATTGTACCAGCCCCAGATAATAGGTGAGGGTGATTGTGGAGAATTGGTGGAATGAAGATTGACAGGGGAAACCGAAGTACTTGGAGAAAACCTGCCCCAGCGTCACTTTGCCCACCACAAATCCCACTTGACCAGACCAGGGATCTAACCCGGGCCGCCGCGGTGGGAAGCCAGCGACTAACCGCTTGAGCTGTGGCGCGGCCTCCTCAGTCTCCCTTACTAATTATTATGGAAATATATAGGCCTATTTTTAAATACCTTTCAGTGTCCAAAGTCTATAGAAAAATTTGTCCCTGTCATTAACCTATTTCAATAATCTTTTGATTTATTTTCGTAGCGACACTTGCAGTATTTAACATTATTTGATGTGGAATGTTTGGATGATTAGTAAACAAGGTAAAGGTAAATTTGCCCTGTGCTTAATTAATTAAGCATTATTCCATGAAGACATATGGTGGAGTGGAGGTATAGCTCTCCCATCAATGAATGAATGTATGAGGGGTAGGTCTTCTTGGCCGTTGCACCACGACCTACAGTGGTCTATTGTGCTTAATAGCTCTCCCATACTTGACGTCGGTACTAAGTGGAAGTGAGTGGTCAGCTTCATGATCCTGACGCTTTACCCCTGGGGAATGAGCCCCCGGTACTCACTGGATAACAGGCTGGGTGTGACGCTGTGGAGAAGAGAAACATCTAGCAGTGCCGGGAATTGAACTGGGCGTCCTGTCCCTAGCTCGTCGCTATACCAACTGATCTATCCAGAATCATGGTTATTAAATAAGTGGAACTTAAAGGATTTGGGTGGAAACGGTCGTGACCGGAGTTAAGATACAATCTTGCCATTAGCCTGAAGGGAATGAGAACAGGCGTAAAACACGTAATCAGGATACTCGGTGTACTGGCTGAGATTTGAACCAGGGATATTCAGTGTACAAAGAAGGAATGCTTCTTATGAAGACTTAGAGCTGGTGACCCATTTATTAAATTGAAATAACAGCAGTACTCCGGGTAAGAATAATGTTTTTCTCTGGTGTCATATCTCCCTGTCTGTTCAATGGACGAGGGAACTGGAACTTAAACCCATGAATTCTTAGTTTCTACCGGACATGGTACATTTTTGTTCTGATGTGACAGAGCTATAGAGGTGCTGTAATAGCCGTGGTTGTGGGACCTAATGCCTAGCCATACATAATGTGTCACACACACCTTTCATGTCCGTTTTATGTTTGGAAAAGAGATTTTCTCTATTGAAGCGCATATTGACACGTTTATTTACCGAAACCTGTGAGAGAAAAGTATGACTTTTAACAATTCTTTTAACATAACTCGATTTGTTATAACCCCCGAAAGTACACCAATGATATTTCACGTATTTTTATGCTGTTACCCAATTATTGTTGAACTGTATAGAAGCATATAATGTAATTGTTACATTGTATTGTGTTCTCAGGGGCGGATGCAAGGAGCATTTCTATTGGTGGTGGATTCGCCCAGCAGTATCTGCATCAGCAACTTCCAGAGGGAAAGTGTTGGGACGTGGTCAACAGATCGAATTCCTCCTCCAACTACTGTGTGGTCGTCACCAGGACAACAACCTCGACAACGACCGGAAATTACGTCTAGCAGTGATCGTAAGGGGTGGCAGGCGGTACTCTTCAACATTTGTTCCCCCTTTTTTGCATCTTTGCTGTTACAGTGGAGAGCCTCAGATTAGCTTAAGACGGGACAGTTTTAGTAGACCCAACTGCAAGAGAAAAAAGAAATACAATTTTGAAAGAAAATACTTCTATCGCCCATGTGACCTGTAAGGGTCTCTCTTACATTGTTGCGACATTATTTATTTTAAATCTTACTACTAAGATACAAGGCCCTTTCGAGGGTGGCTGTAAGTGTCAGTTGTTTTAACTTACTTCGTCTGATATATTTTTACTATTTTGGTTACAACGACTAAAACACTAAGTGTTCTACCAGAGTAGTGTTACTTTTGAAGAAGAAATATTAAGGAGTGTGAAGGGGGGTCCAGAAGTGCTGTTATCAAGGGTGAAAACAGGTGTGTGAATAGGAATGAAAAGTGGTAAATAGAGTGATTTTGTGCGGAGAGTGAAGGGGGTATTTTATGCGTTTCAGTGGTTCCACGTTTCCTTATTTTCGGGGAAGGGGTTGTGTGTGTCTTTGTGTTCGCTTTTCGACACGTCCTCCCTTAAGTTATAAAGGTGAGGCAAGCAGTGAATAAAGGTGGCGGTGGGGTGTGGTGGTGGAAGACGTCATGAGTTCCTACTTTGCTAACTCATACATCCCGGACCTGCGTAATGGTGGCGTGGTTTCTGCGGAGCATCCCCATCAGCACCAACATTATGGGGCGGCGGTGGTGGCGCAGGGTGGCGGGCCAGGTGGTGCCGTCACCTCAGATCCCAGTTCCTGTGCGGGTGGTGACCACACTGTTGTCGGTCTCAGACAAGGTATCCCTCCCCACCATTATGGGGGCCCTCCTGCCGCCGGCCAGCCGCCTCAGGGTATGCCTTACCCCAGATTCCCACCTTACGATCGTATGGATATTAGGAACGCGGCATATTATGGGACCCAGCAGCAAGGCAACGGGGGTCTCATGGCGGATGGTAACGGTGCCAGCGGTGGGGGCGGCTATAGGGCAAATTCACCAAGTAACGGAGGGATGGGACATATGGGAGGAGGTGGGCCCCCAAATGGACATCAAACACCAGTGGTCTTTACAAGCTGTAAGCTTCAAGCAGCCACAGTTGGGGGTCCTGGTGCCCTTGGTTCCGGAAGTCCACCTTTAGAAGGCCCACCGCAGGCAACGCTCAACAATCACAGTCATCAAAACCATCACCACTCACAACAGCAACATGCGAATCACCAGCAGGGACCTCCACACCATATGCAAGCGAATCACCAACACCAGCATCCTCACCACAATCACCAGGCGGCGCAGAATCACCTCTTGTACAACAACGTGAGTCAGCAGCAATGCGAGCAGGGTCCGCCCCATCACCAGCAAGTGGTGGCACCCCACCAGCAGTCGCAACAGCCCCCGCAGCAAACGGGCCCTCAGCAGCCTCCACAGCAACCACCCAGCAACACCGCGTCCACCCTGCCCAGCCCGCTCTATCCCTGGATGAGAAGTCAGTTCGGTAAGTGACCTGCCTTCCTCCACCTCCTGTATGTTGGCAAGACTCGAACTGTTCCAAGTGCGCATGAAGTTTCCGTTTCCGGTTCATTAGAAGGGATTCCTGTAGGTGGCCATTATTTATTTTCTAAGATCACTCGTAATACATCAAAACTCTCTGACCACGGACTGCCCCCAGCTCATATTCACCTTCGTGTTTTCCAAACAATACTTTATAAAAGTATTTGGAAGATATGAGATCTCCTTAATGAGCTCCACGGATCGAGAGTTCTTCCGCCAAACCTGAGACCTGTCAGCTGGTTAAGTAAAGGCCGATCTTTTATGTAAAACGGGTTTGTTGCAATACTAAAATAAATCGCATATATTAGAGAATCAGCCGGGAAGAGCCAACTAGGCGTGGCGTTCCAGTATGGGGTGAACAGAGGGCTAACAAGACACAAAGAAAATCATTATGAAATATTAGGTAGGGCTTCAGGCTTTGGATAATTTCAGATTGTATTTATGTTCCTAATTATTAAATATTTTGGTGTCAGTAAAATATCATAATTGTCACATTGTTTTTAGAGTGAATATTTAACCTTGCTTCGAATCATTGAGTTGGTATATCTAGCATGACTTCACCCACTGGAGCGTTATGTTGGATATCGCAACATTCTGACTCACATAACACTCCGAAGCCAAAAAGCGCAGATTAATGATGTACATTTCTAGACCAGACCAAATCATGCCTTTTTTTTTCCAATTTTGTCTGAACACTATCATCAAGTGTGTAAGAATAAAGAGCGGTTAGTAATATGTGCACACAACTACGTTATAAATTCCTTTAATGCTTATAGAGTTTACAAAAATTGTTCGAAATGTGGTTCTCCATATTCACTGCTGAACTCGTAATGCCGCCATATTGTTCTTCGAAATGATTCATAGGTTTAAATCTGAACGTTCCCGTTAATAGGAAAGAGTGGACATTCGGGTCACACAAAAGGTGGAAAATTCATTGAGTGACTGTACGACTGCTGGCTTGACGGACTCCTGTTCGTGGAATGAGTTACTTACATCTGGTTGAATATAATGGAAGTTGTAGGACTGTATAATTGATAACTGAAGAGCAAATCACAGATCTCCGTTATGTCGTATTATACAGTTTCGATGTAAATGGTTTGGGGAGAAGTAACTTCTCAGTCCTTGAAGTCGACCTGTTTCCTTTCTTCAAGTGAAATACAGGGTGTCCCAGGAGGAATGTGCCAAACTTCGGGAGGGTGTTCCTTATGTTAAAGTATGCCGATATAACCCAAAACACCTATGTCCAAAGTTGAACGGTTACGGAGATAATGGCCAGAGAAGTGTCAAACTTTGACCGGGGTTACACACTTGTTGATTACAAAATAGATATTAAAACTGGCAGGAATATGTGGATTCTGTAATGTTAATAATGTACGTAACATCAAACTAACTTGTGAGTGACGGAAAGCCATAAAATTGAAGTACAAAATACTCGCTCGCCATGTCATAATTGTCCTTAGGTTTCCAAGCAGTATACATAACACATGACTGGCGTGCGATGACGTAATATGGCTGCGCTATGAGCCGACCACATAACTCTTATTATACCTACATTCACGGATAATCTCTTTTGGAATTTCGTTTCCATTATCTCATGTGGATTATTATGGGACCACGTATGCACATTTCGTAAATTATTTACACCGTCCAGGGTAAAAGACGCCTCATCACTACACATGACACATGAATGGCAAGCGCTGGTGTAACATGACTGACTGCATATTCTGCTATAAGCCAACTACATAAGTATTAAAATACAGTACCTGCTTTATAGTAATTGTTCAAAGTGTCCTCCGCCAGCTGCAATGCAGTTTTCGGCACGCATCATGAGGGATTGGGTAGCAGAAGCAATGTTGCCTGAATGGTGACGTATGTGCTCTGCCGCTGCAAAAATACGATTCCGCAGTGCTTCTCGGGAATCGACCTTAGTTTCGTAGACTAAGGTCTTCATGTGGCCCCAGAGGTAATAATCTAGAGGCGTAAGATCTGGCGACCTCGGTGGCCATGCAATGGGACCACCACGACCTATCCAGCGGTTAGGGAAGGATTCATCTAAGTAGTGTCTCACGTGCTGAGTATAATGTGGAGGAGCCCCATCATGTTGGAAGTACATTTTCCTCCTTATCGTTAACGGGATGTCTTCCAACAAACATGGTAACTCATTCCTTAGGAAGGCTCCATACGTGTTTCCAGTTAAATTGTTGTGAAACACAAAAGGTCCGATCAACCTGTTCCCAAGCACACCACACCATACATTCACAGAAAATCTCTTTTGGAATTTCGTTTCCATTATCTCATGTGGATTATTATGGGACCACGTATGAATATTTCGTAAATTATTTACACCGTCCCGGGTAAACGACGCCTCATCACTGAATAAAATGACGCTTAACAGTTCGGGATGAGCTTTTATCCAGTGGCAGAAATCCATACGCTGAGCATGGTCGCCTGGTTCCAGATGTTGTACCCTTTGATCATGGTAAGGATACAGGTCTTCGTCATGTAAAGTTCGCCACACCTGCATACGTGATACGCCGATGCGAGAGGCCATTCTACGAGTGGAGAGACGCGGACTTCTATCAATCATGCGAAGAATGTTCTCTCGTGTGTTTCTCATTTGTACATCCTCCCTTTCCGACTGCACAGAAACACTCGGAAGAGAACCAGTCTCACGCAATGTCTGGTGAATTCGCGTAAATACACTTCGAGATGGAATCCTTCGATCGGGAAAACGCCTTTGGTACTCTTCAACAGCAGCACGTGCATTGCCACCGCAAAATCCATACACAAAATGCATATCACAATACTCGACGTGTGAAAACACAAAAGGCATTTCAGCAACTCATCACACAACTAATTTACCACCCATTCACGACCCCGCCGCAACGTAATATGTAGGCAGCGCATGAGCTTACGCTAGTGTGACTCGCGGCACTCAAGGACAAACAGATAAGGGTCTCAGCTGACAGGTACGTATAGTGCGTGGACCTGCAAGAAGACCACACTTTTCTCGGGCCATTATCTCCGTAACCGTTCAACTTTGGACATAGGTGTTTGGGTTATATCGGCATACTTTAACATAAGGAACACCCTCCCGAAGTTTGGCACATTCCTCCTGGGACACTCTGTATATGAGAAATTTACTCTTGACGTTTCGTCATATTCTGTGTAATAATGTAAGAAGGCATATATCCTATATCCGCAGTTTATATACAACAGCCATATCCAGGCCTGACATACTGTCACAATATTTTTTTTTCCTGACACTACAGCCCCAGTGGGCCTAGGTCAACCTCCATGAACTTCTAAGTTCACTTCGGTTTTTCTAGATCTTACACATTCGGTAGGACTCCTTGGGCGGGTGATCAGCTCGTCACAAGGCCTCTACCTGTACACAAACACAGGAAAACGCGAACACACACAAACTAAACATCCATGCCCCGAGTGGGATTCGAACCCACGATCCCAGTTTCCAAGCGAGCGAATATATTACATGCCTTAGACCGCTCGGCTACCGTGACCGGCACTGTCACAATATAAACCCCATAATTCCTTACGTTTCTTATACTATTCGGAAGAAATTTTGGCCAGTTTACGGTCGGTCAAAATTTATGTGAAATATTTTTAACTTGTAGTTATTTCCAGGAATTTGATAGACCCCTTTATCCACTTTTTTAGTTACATAGATTCGAACACCGGAACCGCATTTATCATGTAACTGCGCTTTCTGTTTCCACTAACGCAGTATACGGAATTCGAACCCCGATGTCAACATTTGTGGTAAGCAGCGCTCGTGCTCAACACGATTAATAAGAACTGATTCAGCAAGTAATATTACGGGCAACAGTAACATACAGGCAGACAGGAGCAATGAAATATCTAGTTTTATTGTGCGCTGTTTTTTAGAACCGAAAGGGGAGGTTTATTTCTCCCTGCGTATCGGTAACAACAACTGGAGCACTGTATGGGTAACCACAGCACGATTGTATTGGCTGGCCCAAATCCAACGTACATCAGAGAATGCTCTGACCTACCATATACCTACAATTGTTCGGTGTTTCATTCATTGAGTCGTGGTTTATCTGACTTTCTTTGGTGTCCTTACGTTGTGTAAGCGCCGAGAGGTGGCATGGTTTGTAAACTGGGAATGGTGGGCTGATCACAGCGGCCTCGCAGTCTAAAGCACGAAATGTCTTCTCCCACTCAAACATTGAAATCCTTGGTTCGAATTCCACTCGAGGCATGGATGCCTGCATTTCGTCTCTGTTTCTGTTATTCTATGTAGACAGCGGCCTTTCGTTGGGCTGATCTCCCATCCATGGAGTCCTACCGACTCTCTGTAACAATAATAATACTGTATTCATTTACAAATGAGAACAGAATAGAGAGCCTTATCCGTCAAAGTAGGAGGGAGATGCGGAGGAGGAAGAAGAAGAAGACGGTAATGACGGTGAATAAGGAAAAGATGACGACGAACATCGAGATAATGATTAAGAAAAAAATAATAATAATAAAATAGTGAATAATGAGAAGGTGATGATGATGATGATGATGATGATGATGACGACTAGGAAGACGGTGAATAATGAAAACACGATAAATAAGATGAATAATATGAATAATATGAAGAAAAAGAAGAAAGGATGTAGAATGAAGCAGTATTGCCTTATTCAAGGTACTGTCTCGGTATTTAAGTGGTGGAACTGAGGAAAAATTAAAAAATCTTCAGGCACGATAACTGACCCATGAACCCGGGACCTCTAGAATGACGAGAAATACAAAGCATTCTATCTTTCCACTCCATATTTTACAGTGAGTTAACCGCCCATCGCGTCAGCTTATCATTAGGAAAGAATTTCCTGGATATATTTTTGTTTCCTGGTCATTCTCTCAGTGAATTTGTCGGGAGTGTATGAAATGAAATTCATGCATCTCACGGCGCAG